GTGCAGACAGCATGGTGCTGGGTGTAGAGAGCGTGATACAGGGGTGTAGAGACCGTGATACAGGGGTGTATAAAGCGTGCAGGGGTGAGGAGAACGGGGTGCAGGGGTGCAGAGAGCGTGGTGCAGGGGTGTAGAGAGCATGATACAGGGGCAAGAGAGTGTGGTGCTGTGGTTCAGAGAGCATGGTACGGGGGTGCAGAGATTTTTGAGACGCCCTGCTGTGTGTCCTCCAGGCATTTTGTGTCCGGGGTTTGTTGAACTCATACTTGGGTCTTTGGGCTTAGAGTTTTCATAAGTTTTGGGAAATTCTAAGCATTGTTGATGGATGATTTCTGTCTCTCCCCCACCTAGCTGCAGGGATGGTCTCTGGGTGCCCTCTGGGGAGACTGTGGAGCTCACGGGGTTCACAGACCTATGCTGCCCAACTGCCAAGATCCACAAGCCTCCGGCATCCTGCTCTGGTTCTCAGCCGCTTCATGCCAGGGAATAAGAGTGCTCCCTGTTTTATTTTGCTCTTGGGCCCAGCAGTCCAATGTCCTCAGGGGAAACTTTACTGAGCAGACCTTAATTATAAGCTTTGGGGGCAGCATGCATAACGGTAATGTCGGCAGCCAACATTTGAATTCTTATGCTGGGCCAGTACTGACCGCGGGTGGCCAGGTGCGGAGCTGACCCATAGCGGCCCCATGTCCTAGCGCGTCCTCACAGTCATCCATGCCCAGGCTGAGCCTATTGGTGCAGCCACGTGTCTGTCCATCTCTTGGAGGGCCTTCCTCTGTGTCGCTGCCCCTCCACCTTACCAAGCATGAAGTCCTTCTGCAGGGACTGGTCTCCCTGACAGCACGTGCAAAGCACGGAGATGAAGTCTTAGCATCCTTGCTTCCAAGGAGCATTCGGACCGTACTTCCTCCAAGGCAGAACCGTCCTTCTGCCTGCCTGAGGTGCTCTCAGTATTCCTCACTTCCCCTGCGTTAGCCAGTCTCCTCCGTAACACAGCCTGTGTTATCAGTGCCCCATGTATGAGGAGCGAGCGAGTGTGTGTGTGTATGCACACGCGTGTGTGCTCAAGGTCACAGTCATGTGAGCTGGTGAGGCTATGAGGCATCACACCCTCAGTCACAACGAAAGCCCAGAACGTCGCCAGCCAACAATCTGTGGGTGTTTCTGACAAGACGAGGGCTTGGCTGCCCGGGCTCTTGTGGATGTGGCTGGATGAGGCCAGGGCACTGGGCACATGCTGCCTTCAGCCTCTCGTCGCCCTTCCCCCCTCCCCAACCCTCTGTGACTTATAACTTCATCGTCTGAATCAACCAGGAAGGCAAATGGCTGTCCTCGGCTGCCTGGGCCTGCTCCTCAGAGCCCCGCCACCCTGCCGTCACAGGGGAGGGCTGGGCTACCACACGGGCCGAGAGAGGGTATGTCTCGGCTCTCACAGGAATGGAGGGCTGACACCAGGACCAGGCCTTGCGTGTTTGACGGACACTCGGCCCTGCCCCGGAGCATGCTTGCTTGGCATGGGTCAGCCACCCACTACCGGAAGGCGGACAGAGACCCACTTCATGTGAACATGGCACTGGGCCCGCTGGTGTCTCCCCTGTCTCCACGCTTTCCAGCTCAAGGGCATGAGCACCGAGGACTGGGTGCAGCCAAGCGTGGCCAGGGCAGGAGGCAGCTGTGTCCACGGCACGCCCTCACCCTCACCCCCACCGAGGCCCCTTTTCTGTCTGCGGGCCTGTCTTCCCCTTTACGTGGCGAGGCCAGAGCACCAGAGACAGCACCTCTGTCTCCTCCCATTCACCCGGCAATCTCCGCTTTATTAAAGGCGGGACGGTACACTTGCTGACCTTTCAAACATGGCTTCTTTTGAGAAGCGAGGCTCGTGTTCTCACAGTTGGTCGAAGGGTCCCAGTTGTAAACCTGCGTAGTTCTGGCCACCTCCTAGCCGGCCTCGCTTACACCAGGTGGGGCAGCGAGCGGTTCCGAGCTCACCGTGAGCACCCCAGAATGCCTGCATCAGGTGGGAAACTGCATCTCTCCATGGGCCGAGGGGGAGACGTCCCAGGCTGGCCGGGCAGCGCCAGACACAGGCCTGCCACACTGGCCCTTCGGCACCTGGCCTGGATGACCAGTCTGCAAGAGCAGCAGCTCAGATGCCTGCAAACGCAGGCGAGGGCCAGTGCACACTCCTTTTGCAAACCCCGGGCAGGTCTAGGTCAGAGGGCACGGCAGAGGGGAGCCTGGTGGAATGAGCTGGGCATGGAGATGAGTGATAGCAAGGGGCTTGCCGCGTCCGTCGTTGACTCCATGTGGAATGCTGAAGACGTAAGCTAAGGCAGACGACAGCTACGCCCATGGTTGGGCATCACTCAAGAGGACCCTGGGAAGGCTGGTAAACACCTGATGGGCTCATGACGAGGGAGGCCAGGAGTCCAGCAAAGTACCGCAGGGATCCCCAGAGAGGCCGGAGCAACAGGAGGAGAAAGGAAAACAGGACGACTTCTGGGGCAGACAGGAAAAGAGGATGAGGCGTATGGAAAGGGCCGTGGGTCGAGCAGAATGCAGCGGAACAATCTTTGCATCAATGCCGTCCTGGCACATCTAGACTTAGAGATGAAGACAACACTCTCCGTCCGTCCCAGCAGGAGACAGTGACGAGAAGGACCAAGACCGCCCACCGTGGAGCCAGAGCTCAGCCAAATTGAGGTCCCCTCGTCAGGCAGAGGGTGGACTGTTTGCGACCTAAGACTTTTATACCCAGCCAAGATGTGTATGCATGTGCATTCTGTGAAGGTTCCTGAGCCATTGGAGGTTTGCAAGGACTTACAAAATGTACCATCAACTTTCCTTTCAAGAAAATGGTGTTTTCTGGCCGAGCCCCAGCTCAATGAAAACTAAACTTCCAGATGAACGAGCCACTGTTTTCTAAGAAGGGAACCAGCTGCAGCTCAAGGCTCGTCAGAGGTGCTCACCACAGGGTCAGGGAGAAGCGTGTGTAATTGGAGACCACCAGAGCAGCCAGCCTCTGGGGGAAGGACCCTTTCCACGTGCAATCAGCTGGGGTGATTTGATCATGCCGTTGTCGTGAGGTACTTGCACGTAGGTCCTGACTTACAGCAATGGGCATGAGGACAGAGTGAAGCACTGCCCAGCCCTGTGCTCGGACCCACTGTGGCCACCACTGTGTCTGTCCTCTGTCATTGAGGGTCTTTCTCTCCTTGGCTGACCATGATGTCCTGCTCCAGGGCAGCCCTTTCTGATAACACCCAAATCATGTGAGATAAGGTCTCCCCTGTCATCGCTTCTAAGGGGCATTCTGGTTGCATTTCCTCTAAGACAGACGGGTCCGTTCTTTGGTATATTAAATAGATATCACCTCTAAGCAATAGGAAACAGCAAACCGAGACTCCTGAGGGATTAATCAAGAATGGAATTCATTAACTGTCATAGGGAGGTGTGACCAGAGAGGCCTCTGCAAGGACCTGACCGAGGTGGGGGAGTGGGTGGGGGAGTCTGAGAGGCAGGAGCTCGTGGGCTTGTCTCTGCAGGGGCTCGGCTCCCAGTGGCTCTGTTCATCCCTGTGTGAGCCCAGTGATCTGGGACTTGGAGGAGGGAAGTGGGTCCGTTGGCTGTGTCACCTGCCACCTTTGCCAGGGCAGTGCCCTGTGGAAGCGGCTCCCCAGGCGGGACACAGGACAGGTGTCTGAGGAGTGCCATTGGGAATGCCCCTGTGGTCGCCAGGTCATCAAAGACCCTGAGGCCCGCGCATGCGTAGGTAGAGGGTTGGGCCAACAGGAAGGCACACGCTGCCAAGGCCGCCTGTCAGCTCGTAAGCACACAGACACAGGGTTTGTCTCAGATTGCGGCAGTGCGCATGGTTTAAATGCCTTCTCCTGGTGGGCTTGTGGTGCTCCTGCAGCAGACCAGGAGCTGAGAAAATGGTGATCAGGAGGAAGGTGGAGGCGGGATCCAATGAGAGGGAAAATTAATGTTGAAATCTGTGATCACACCTCTGTAAAGGAGGGTGTCTGGGGATAGGGGCTGGGAGCGAGGAGGTGAACGGAAAGCCATTCGGGCAAGTGGGGTGGGGATCCAGGAGATGGCTCTCTTAGAAACAGCCCCGTGTGGCTCAAGTAGAACAGGTGTGCGTTTTCACAGCAATGTTGTATCTTATAACATACCTTAGTCACAGTAGAACAGGATCCTGCCCCATCAAACAATGTCACTTAAACACAGCAGGATTACATTTCACAAGGCGTCGCGGCTCAAACAGAGCCGCTTCTTAAGCTGAGGGATCCCAGGCGACACAGTGGTTCAGTGCTGGGCCACTAACCAAGACACGGGCAGTTGGCACAGCTGACCCTTGGAGCAGGATGCGGCTGTGGGCTTCTGTGAGCACTACAGCTGTGGGGACCCTCTGGGCGGCCCAGCTCGGGAGTCAAAAGTGGGCTTGCTGGCAGTGATGGGGGCGCTTGGTTTTCCCTGTGGCTGGGGGATGGCCTGCCACTTCCTCTCCGAAGCCTCCGTAAAGTCAGGGATCGCCTGGAAGGCCAGTGGTTGTGGCCCCTGAGCAGAGTTGTGGCCGCCGTGTGGACCTTAAGCCACAGCTGGCCTTCTATGGGGATAGTTTGGACAGTCAGGACTGGAGGAGGCAGGCGCTGCCCTGACCTGGACATGGTGTTGAGCCTGACCCCTGTGCCCGCGGGCAGAGGGGAGCACTGCTGTCATGTCGTGGACCAGCAGGAGCCCCCGGGACTCAGCTGTAGAGCTTGCTCACCCACAGGGCTGGACTCAGGCTCACTGCAGCTCCTCAGGCACAGCCCATGCTTCCCGATGAGCTGCCTGCCCCTGCGCCCACCCAGGTTCACCCAGGGGCATCAGAGACCCCAGGCCCACCCTAACGATTGCTTCCTTCTGCGCCCACCCAGGTCCACGGAAGACCTCCACAGCCCTGTGCTGCTTGCCGACGGGACGCGTCCTGACCGCCCCCCATCCTCTGCACGCGCATGTGTGACCTGTGTCGGCGCACCCAGGAGCCGCTTCCCTGCGTGTGCTGCGCCGTTCTGAACGGTTCTGAGCAATGAGCTCCCAAAGCCACCCAGGTAAGGAGGCGCCCGAGGTGGGGCCACGGGCCTGCGGCACGTGTGGAGTTGGGGTACTGGCCTCCCTGCTGGGGGTTGTCGCCTTTGTGAGGGAACAGTTGGACCCACCTCAAGGGGCTCTGGGAGAGCCTCCCAGGCGTGTGCTGAGCGGGACTGATGTGGAGGATTCCTGGGGCCCGCAGAGCAGTGGCCTCTAGAGGCCATGGTGTGTGGCCGGGGCAGTCAGTGGCATTTGCCGTGTCTTGGTGGACGTGTGATTGGGGGCAGGGGTCTTGGCAGTCCTGGTTCTGGAGTTGCTGCAAAGAGGTTGGATTTGCCCGCATCGCTGCTGCACGGCTAGAAGAGAGCCCCTGGTGGTGCCATGGGTTAAGCTCCCCTCCCAGGGTAGGGCCCTACGGAGTAGACACTCCCTGAGTCCAGAGTGGTAACCGCCCCCCCACAAGAGATGAGAGAAGCTCCCCAAAGTGAAGGTCCTGGGTGATACCCCCAAGAGCAGAGCCCCTCCTGGGAGGGCTGATCCCCAGAGGGGGGGCTTCCCAGAGCCCAGGTAGACCCCCCCATGGAGGCCCCCTCCCTTTGGGCATGGCGGTGGCCTGTGTTGCAGGAGTGACAGGAACAGGGCTGGCTGCCAGTGGCCTGTCCTCCTGCGGGCGGGCGGGCCAGCAGAGTGTCCAGCAGGCTGCCATTCTCCCCGGCCGGTGCCAGCCACGGTCCTGCTCATACTGTGCTCGTTCCTCTCTGGTACCACATGTGCAGGGTCTTGATCTGCTTTTTAAAGACACGTGCGGGCGCCGGCTTCCCGGGAAGTCACTGCCCCTCCTCCCATCAGCACAGCACAGGCTGCACCATGGACCCCGGGGTGTTGGGGTTCAGGGGTCGGTGCAGCTGCTGTCGTGAGATGTCAGGTCCTGGGAGACCCCGCTGACACCAGCCACCCACACCCAAGCCTGAGCTCTCTCCATCCCACTCAGAGTGACCCTGCAGGGTGGAAAAGGAGGCCCGCACTCTCTGAGGGGTTGTGAGCCACTCCTGCTGAAACTGGCACCTCACCCGCAGGGTCTCCCCTTTGTCCCCTCTCGTGGGACCATCCTGGACTGCCGCCCGGTGTCCGGTGTTGGCGAATGGCCCTGGGTCCCGGGCCTGAGGGGAAGGCAGGCTGGCAAGCAGCTGTCACCTGACGGCAACTCTGGCAGTCTAGCCTGTGACGGGACTCTGATCACTGTGGACACTGGGTGGTGGCCGGGCCCGCTCTCTGAGGGGCATGCGTGTCTCCACATGCAGGCTGAGAGGTGAGGGCCTGCCCTGTGTGGCGCCCACGCCGGCCTTCCTCCCACAGGTGTGTTCAGACCCGTCTCTCTGTCTGTGTGTCTGTCTCCAGCCCCGCTTGTCCGTGGATGTGCCTCACTCTGTGTGGGTCTCCCTGCACGTAGTGTGGCACCATCGGTGTGCAGACCCAATCCACGTTGGCGAGGCTCTCTGCTGGAGAGGGGGCAGGAGGTGGATTTATGGGTCAGTGGCTACACTCGTCTACACATCGTCGCCTGACCGTCAAATCTTGGGGTACCCTCCTCACCATGGCCGCCAGGATGTGTCTTCTATGACCAGAGCCCCGCCTCTCAGGGGAGAGAGTTAGTCCACGTGCTGGGGGATTCGTGCCGGAAGTTACTGCATCCAGGGGCCTCCAGCCTGGGGGTGCAGCAAAGTCCTGCGCACCCACCTGGGCATCTGGAGAGAAAACAAGCCCTTCTTCCATTCTCCCGTCCCTGGTCTCAAGGGGTCTGAATGTGGACACTGTCCCGTGGTGTTTGTGGTCGCTCTGTGGGTGACCTCGGGCTACTCACTGCCAGGTCAACAGTTCGAAACCCTCCGCCGGAGGAGAAGGCTTCTCACGCTCCCAAAGGTCTGCAGCCACGGGCCCTGGGGGCAGCTGTGAGTTGGAGGGATCGGATGGCAGTGGGTCTTGCTTTGGGAACGAGGATGAAGGAAACGCAGGAGCCCTGGCGGCGCCGTGGGCTGCAGAGCGGGCTGCTAACCACAAGGTCTGCAGTTCTAAACCACCAGCCACTCCTCAGGAGGAAGACGAGGCATCCTACTCCCACCAAGGGCAGCAGTCTCAGCGTCTCGCAGGGGCAGCTCACCCGTCCTAGGGCCACTGCCCATCCGTCAGCCTTGGCGCAATGGCAGGGGGTGAGCGGGGTGACAAGGATCCGTTCACTTCACTCCTCCATGGTTTTACGTGGCTTCCAGGAAAGGGGCGGAGTGTTCTGTCACCATTCTAGGTCCGCCGTGTTCTGCGTATATTCTTAGCCGTGTGGGGCTGACATAGTTGAGTGTTTTCGTTTTGTTTTGCTTTCTGTCAGTTCCTAACAAAGAGTGCTGGTGCTCTGGGCAGTCTTTGGTTTGTTGATCCGCATGCAGTCCCATCTCTCTGCCACTCCTTACGGCCATGCGACCCCACGCCCGCTTTGCCCTCTGGGTGTCCCTGCCTTCGGCGCTCTGGTCCGTGGCTCCTGTTTTCGTGAGCTGGCGTGGGGGTGCAGCTGTGGGACCCAGAGTAGGTGTCACCTCCCCGTGAGTGGGGCATTATTATACCGCTGACGTTTGTGGGGTCACTGGTGGGCCTGGTCTCATGCTGCTGCCTTGTGCCCCCCCCCCCTCCCCGTTCCCCTTGTGTGTGTGTGTCACTGCCCCCTGCCAGCCCTCAGTGGGCCAGTGATGGTCTCCAGAGACCAGACAGAGCTGGCCTGGTGCTGTCAGGGGCAAGACTGCCTCCAGTCTGAGCCTCGAGCCCCAGCGCACCTCTGCTGGTCACCTGGAGCCAGGGGAGCACGTCCACCTCTCTACTCCCAGGTTGTCTCTGAGGTCTGCCCTGAGTTGCCCGCGGTGCCTCCCCACGGTGCCCCTGTTGTGTGGGCCTGCATCAGCTTCCTGCTGCTCCGGCCCCTCACTCGCTGCTGATGGAGCTGCCGCCTGCAGGGTGGGTTCTTTCATTGGTTGACTTGGGTGTGCCTCCAACGGGCCACCCCTCCAAGCGTCCGTCCTGGTGCCAATCTGCTCGTGTGCCTGTGGAGGCCAAGGCTTTGGGCAGGCTGGGCCCCAGGTTTCTCACTATGCTTGGGCGTCGCTACTCGGGCCTCCTGCCCCCACCTAGGGAGGCGCCTCGGGTCCTGCCTCGGCCTCCTGGTCCCAGCTGGCCGTTTGCTGGACCTCCCTCTCCTGGCTGGTCTCCACGGTGCCCCCTTCACCTCACAGTGGGAGCGCCCGCTTGGAGTCCCCTCGGGGCTGAGCTGCACACGACGGTTTTATTGCCTGTCCCGCTGGACTTTGCCAAACCAGGCCTGCTGCTCTGACGCAAAAGCTGCCTCCCTGGCCGGTTTCTGTCTCCGAGGAGGGACTTCTGGGGAGAGGCGGGAGCACTGGGCGGGGCCAGGCTCCACACAGCTGGCTGGGCACCCCTGCTCCTGCAGCATGGCCCGCAGGGGCAGACGAGAGTCACAGGATAGAGCCCAGGGCCTGGGCCCTGTCGAGGGCACTGGGACCCTTCCCTGTCCCCCACACTCCCTGATGTCACGGACTTTGCCGGGGTCTGAGTGTGCCTGGGAGGGTGGCCACCTGGCACCCCAGCCACCCCCACCCCTCCATCGGCCCGGCCTCACTGCCCTGAGATGGATTTGAGGACAGATATTCCAGCCTTTGGGGTCATTTCTGGAAGTTTCTAGGACACATCCGAGGCCGGGTACATGTTGGTCTTGGCAGAGTGCTGGCCTGTGGGGCCATCAGATGGCCTGTCCCCCGGCAGCGTGGTAAGAAGCCAGCCAAGTGTCAGCTAAAAACAGAACAATGAGTCTAGGGAAGCTGGCAGACACGGTGCCTCTCGTCACCTCCAGGAGCCTTGTGGCCATGGGTGCCGCCGAGGCAGTCACTGTGTGGCGGGGGCATGTGTAGCATGGGGGTGTGGCACAGACACTACTTGTGGCAGACACTGTGTGGCATGGGCCTCGTGTGGCACAGACACCATGTGGTGCAGGCACTGTGTGCCGTGGGAGTGTGCCAGGCACCACATGGAGCAGACGTTGTGTGGCGTGGGCCTCATGTGGCACGGGCGCCACTCGGGGCAGACATTGTGTGCCGTGGGCCGTGTGTGGCTCAGGCTCCCTGTGGTAGGGCCCGGGGGTCATGGGTGTGGTGTGGGGAAGGAGCTGTGCGATGTAGACTCAGGGTCCGTGTCTGATCCTGCTCTTTCTGTACCCACCTTGGGCAGGCTGCCGGCCACAGCAAAGAGATGGTGAGGGGCACCTGGGGGCAGGGCTAGGTGGGGCAGGTGGGCAGGGCAGTGCCTCTCGGGGGGAGAGTCCGGGGTGCTGAATGGCATCAGGAGATTGGAAGAGTTTCATTGCCGAGTGAGGCTGAAAACTCTCCAGGAGCAGCCCCTGCAGGTGCTGGCCGTTCAGCCCCGCAACGTGGGCCAGGACACGGTGGTTCAGTCCAGTTTATTCTGACCCATGGCGACTGTCATGGGCTGGCCCGTGCCGCTCAGAATCTGCGTCCTCGGGCCACCTGTTTGGAGGTTGTGCAATGACGTAACTCCCCTCCCACCTCACGGCGATGTGAGCCGGTGCTATCGCCCACCAGTTGTGTGCGGTGGTGGCGGCTAGTTAGGACGTTACTGAGGGTGAGTCTGGGTGAGGGTGGGGTGCATCCTAGAAAGAGGAGAGGAGGGAGGAGCCAGCAGAGAGAGACTGTGTCCTACGACCACAAAGAAAGACGAGCTGGGTGCAGGGCACATCCTTTGGGCCCAGGGTCCCTGTGCTGGGACCCTCCTAGACCCGGGGGAGATGCGTGCCAGGACACACAGAGCCTTCTGAGGGACGCCGGCCAGAGGCTGGCAGGAGACAGGTGTTGATGTCACCACCTTTGTGGCGAGCCTGGTTCTGGAGTCAGCTGAGTTTCCTTGGAGACCCTCGGGTGGAATTGGGTCTTGTGGTGACCAGGCCCTGCTC